CTCTCTCTGCTTGACTCCAGTGTGTGGGAATGACCTGATTCTCCATTTGCAGCTCCAGCAGCAGGTACGGGTGGAATATGAGGAGAAATTGAGAGTTCTGAACTTGGAGGTTCAGGAGATGGTGAAGAACTACACCAAAGCCAGCTTTCCCAGAGAGCCACAGACTGGGAAGGAAGCAGGTCAGAGCATTCCTGAGGGAGAACAAGGCTCTACAGATCAACTGGAAGCAAATATCCCAGTGGCAGAGGTGTCCAGGCTTACACTGGCAATGACTGAGCCCTCGGGAGCTGCAATGGATGTGGAGATAGAAGAGAGCATATTCTGAGATGAGGCCCTTCCTTACTGCTCACTGCAAGAAATTATAATGGTGAAGTAACAACCAGCTTCACAAACTACTGCCATCCCTTTCCATTCTGGGGAGCTCCTGAAATCCTTCAGGAATGTACCACATTATTCCAGATACCTGGAAGCAGTCTGGAGAGCTCACCCTTCAGAGTACTGCACCTTCTGACTTCCCCAGCCTGAGCTCTGAGGTATTTCAGCAGTGGGAAAGGGCCTGTGCCTGCAGCCCAACGCTCCCTGTTGGCATCGCAGCAGCAGCTACAGGAATATTTACTTTGCATTCAGAACAGTTTTTAGAGTCAGGTCCCTCATCATTCCTCACATGCAACTCTTCACATCAGTCCAGCTCCTCCTAACACCTTCCACACGGTTCAATGAAACAGCAATAAACAAACCTAAACACTGATACAAAGAGACACCACAGGTGGGGTAGGGGTGGGAAATGGGCTCAGTCACAGCAAAGCACACCATGCTGTGTGTCCTACAGGAGAACAGTTACATCTGAAGCTGCATTAATAAACAATTACAAATGCTGCTAGAAAACAAACCAAACCCCAGGTCAAGCAGGTATGAGACAGCATGTTCCAAGCCTAGTCTGAACACTCAACAAGAGTCCACCTCTCCCCTGTGGTGTCACCAGAGTACTGGAATTATGGATTGTACATTTCTGAGCTATTTATTTTCTAAAAAAAAATAAAACATAGCAGTTCTTAAACAACGGGGTCACTTGTTACTTAGCTGCAGTTAGTGTGTGTGTGTGTCCATCTCCATGTGTGTGTCCAGGTGTCTGTGTAGCTGTATCCATGTGCCCGTGTTCATGTGTGTGTCTATGTGTCTGGGTATGTACGTGTACGTCTGCATGTGTCCATTTGTGTGTTTGTGTGTCCGGTGTCTGTCCATTTGTTTCTGTATGTCCACATATGTGTGTGATCCATGTCTCAGTGTGGGACTGTATGTGTGTCCAGCTGTGTCCCTGTGTATTCTCTGTGCCTGAGTGTGTGTTTGTGTCTGTCTTTGTATCCATGCATCTCTATGTGTCCATGTCTGTCTGTCTGTCCATGTCTGCAAGCATGTGCGTGTGTCTGCATGTCTGTGTCTCTGTAGCCAGGTATGTGTGTCAATCTTTGCGTCTGTCTTCTGTGTGTCTGTCTTCTGTGTGTCTGTCCACGTCCCTGTGTCTCACATCTGTCTATTCATGTCAATGTCACAGTGTCTGGGCCTGTGTGGCTGTGTCCATGTGTGTGTCCCTGTGTGGCTGTGTCCCTCTGTTCCATGTGTGTCTGTGTGCACGTATCTGTCTGTGAGTCTGTGTGTCCATGTCCCTGTGTGGCTGTCTGTCCACCTGTCTCTGTGGTGTTTGAGGCCCTTCCTCATCAGAGAACAAAGATCCCAGCAAGGTTCAACTGCAGCCAGGGAGCAGTTGGAGGTTTTACCTTAAATCCAGAGAGGCAGCACTGGCAGTTCTAAGGTGGAGCACAGGGGCACTGAGCCCTGCATCCTACACCAGTGTGTCACCAGCTTTGGCCACTCAAACCTCTCCAGAGGAGCTTTTTAGAGGTTATTTTAAAGGAAAATTTGTCCCATCTCTCCCTGGGGGGAACCCAGACACCAATGTCAGACCAGAACATGGGCACAGGGTGGCCCCTTTTCCACACACTGCCAAAGTTTCAGGGCTGTTTTTTTTTTTCCCCTCAAAGCATCTCTGGAAATGAATCCTGCAGAATAAACCTGAGTCAGAGAGAGAGGCAGGGAAAGCCAGAACACAACAGCAGGGCCGGGGCTTGCAGGTTTTCCTTCCTCCAGGGTCACACCCTAAAGATTCTGTTGCACAGGGACAGTGGCAGGCAGGACATGCTCTGTCCCTTCACACAGCATGTGACAGGACAAACACTCCAAGTCAGGCTGGCCAGGTTCACTCTCACAGACTGCTCCTACCAACAGCACCAGCACAAGCTGTGACACTGGACAGCACCACTGCAGTCTCCTTCCCTCCATCCTGCCACAATTCCCAAACAGCCTCACTTTCCAGCTTGGAGACCTCCAATTCCTGCCTTGCCTCAACTGCCCCCCCAGGAGCCATCTGAGAGCCAGCAGAACCCATTGCTCTGCCCTCCTCAAGCTGAGCTCCTCTGTCCCTTCCCCATGCAGAGCATCAGTGCCCCCACAGCTCTGAACAGCACAAACCCAGAGGCCAAAGCAAGGCCTGACACAGCACCGGAGCAAAATGCTCTGCAGGGGGTTCCTTGAGGCATGGGCATTACAAAATTGACCAGAGCTCAGCTGGACTATGACACAGGGAACTTCAGCACAGAGAATTTGTGGCATTAATGTCCACTGATGTTTGAAACCTGAACAACGAAATCCACCACAACAACTTGTGCCCTCACACAACCCCAGCACAGTTTCTGCACTGCAACCCTTCTGTCATGGAACCCAACACTGGCACAGGGGATTAATGCCAAATTTCATGAAAAACAGCTGTAATCTTTTACACAGATTTCACCTCAGTGCTAAATAACACCTTCTAAATGTACTTTTCAGTGTGCATCAGAAGCATCACTAAAAGCAAAGCCAGGGCTCCCATGAAGCACAGACCACACTCTGCATCACCCCCTTTCTCCCCAGGGTGCCTCTGAACCTGTGTGCCATGGTGCCTCCAACACCTCCCTGCCTGTCTGCACAAAATGGGGGAAAGTTCTGCAAGATGGGAAACGGACAAACAAATAAATAATAAATCATAATAAATAAAGGCACTAAACCAAACGTTACTGCAAGGGTTCCCGAGCACATCTTGAACCCGACCATCCCTCCCAGCAGCACAATTCAGTCACATCATGGTTGGTTACTCACAGACTCCAGAGGGGAGAGGCCATCTGATTTTCCAGCACTGTTTCTTCCCATGGGATTCAAACATCCTTGAGGATTCCTTCCTGTGCAGCCCTGCCCATGTTTTCACTTACCTGCCAAGCACAGGGCAATGTGGTATTTTGCTCAGACAGGCCTCCCATCAGGCCTGTCATTACACACAGAACTCCAGTTCAATGGCAATTGAGACAGTAACATCTAGTCAGACACTGAACAGCAGCAGATTCAGGTACAATCTCTGATCCTTTCCAAATTTTCATCTTTTAAATGGAATATTTCAGATCTCATCCTGCACCCAAAATATTTAAGTGAGGCCCACCTTTGTACTAGATAATTAAAAATTAGATAATGAGGATGTCTAAAGCAGAGGAGGACTCCAACCCCAGCAAGGGACACAAACAGGAGACACTGTACCTAAATGACCCCAGTCCTTTTTACCTCCATAGCAAAGGTACTGCTGATGTGCCTAAGGCACTCGGAGAAGGAGCTGCTGCACAGTATCTATTCCATTTTAGAGACACTCTCACTGCCCCACATGTATCTCACATGTCAAGATTCCCTGAGATTATCTAGATTATTACTTGTTATCCCATTTATAACCTGGTCAGGGCATAGCCAGCAGCTCTCCCCAGTCTGCAGGGGAAGGGTGGCACTTGTCTCAAACAATGTCTCAAACCAAACTGAACAATGTCAAATTCAGGAACCTCATTTGAACCAGGGTCCTTCTGTTGCCACTGGTTAAAAAACAGGGGCCTCTACACAAAGATTTATTTGGTTCCAAAAGAAATGGGATAATAAGCTGCTGCATCCAACATCAGAGGCCTGTTGGAGGGAGACAGGCACCATTATAGATAAACCAGTGCAATTGGGATGTGACAGCACTGACAGACTCCCTGTTTGATTCAGCAAATTGTTCATATAAATACCATGTGCCATCTTCAAAGGCCTCCTGGATGCTGATTGCCAGAGCTATGCCAGCAAGGAAAAAGGCTCTATACCAGCAAAGCTGACAGGAAGGAAAATGAAAGGGAAAGATTCAGGGGAAACATGACATAGAACAGCAGCAAACCCTGAAACACAAGTGCACCCTTGTAGAAAAGGAAAGATACTCAGAGAAAACAGCATCTCTGAGCATAATTACCCACTGAGTAGGCTCTGGGCTTGTCAGAGAAGAGGCTGCACCTTGCTGTACAATCAGATGTCACCAAGCATACACGAAATCCCGACCTGAACACTACTGCAATACAAATTCCAAACCTGCTCTGCATCCTCATTCTCCTGCCTGGCTGCCTGGTTCCTGGGGAAGGAGCTGTCAGCCCTGGAGACGGAGCTTCAATCTCTCAGCTAATCTAGATTTATCTTAGGATTTATGTTTGATTCCACACTCATCTAAGTAATGGAGCAGTTAATTGGTGCTGGGCCGTGCATGAACTGCAAAGAGAGAAACATAAGAAGCAGGGATTTAATTCTACACTGCACAGGAAGATGGATCCTTTCTGCATTCCTCAGAAATATGGTAATGAGATTTTAAAATTTTATAAGATACTTGAAGGCAATTTTTCCAGGACCTTCCCTCACTGTGTTTAGTTAGATTTGGGCTAAAGTATAAAATGGTCATCCCTGTCTCCCAGAAGCCTTTGTTTCAGGACTCAGGATCCAGGCTCCTGCCCCAGTCTCCTCTTGTTTTAGAAGCCATACAGCCACAGAACAGGGAAGTTAGAGCAGACTCCAAGGTTCACACTCGCATCTCTGAACTACAGACACATTTTTAAGCATCTCAACACTTTAACAGGTTTATGAATAAATCAAGAACTACTTTAATTTAAAACACAAGTGCAAAGGATTCACAACTAAAGACGAGCAGGACTGTTTGTTTCAAATTATAAATCTTTTCCAAGCCCTGCTTTTTTTGCATTAAAAAAAAGCAATTTATCTGGAATACAGAAACATTTTACATCAAAAATTTTCCAGTGCAGCTAAGGAGGAGCTTAATGAATTGATTTCAACCAACTCCATCAGCCCAAACTTAGACATCCAGTTTACAGAGACCCCCTATGACTTCTCTACCTGCCATGGGTGAGAGAGAGAGAGTGGTTTTGTCCTTCAGCAGATGACTGAACCAAGGGGATGAACCACCTGTGGATCTGTTCCCCCAGGGGTGTTCCTCTCCCCATGGGCTACAGAGCCAACCTACACATTCTGCAGACTGGGTGCCCACCCTCTGCTGGCTGGCAGCAGTGCAGATGAATTCCATCCCAAATTACTTCAAGTAATCAACCATGGCTTCAATTTTGAAGCAGGATCTGTAGCTGGAGCAAATAGCAGAGGACAGAGGTTATGAACATCTTCTGAAGAAAATGCAGTTCTGAGGTCAGTTTCTGAGACAGCAGGACTGTCCTGAGAATACCTAAAAGTCCAAAATCTTGGTATCTGGAGTTTCAAAACAAGATTCCAGCTCCACATCTACAAATATATTCTTGAGACCTCACAACAACACACACCATCACTGTACAATGTTAATCCCGACCTAGAGTCCAATTACCTTGAGGATCTCACTGATCAGAGAGTGCAGCATACAAAATACCTAAAACTACGTCAAAATAGCTGAAAGAGCTGTTTAGACAACCAGAAACCTTCCAGATTAAAGGGCTGACAGGGAAGGGCAGACCAATAGCCAGACAGCAGCACACAAACACAAAAATCAATCCTGGGATATGCAGGATAGCTCAAATATTTCCATTTGGTCTCCTACAGCATTCCCAAAATGCTACCCAATAACTGCCCCAGGGCAGCACTTCTCAGCCTCTCCAGAGAGAAAGGACTGGGAAAGCAAGCCACAGGAGCATGCTGTTCACATTCCAACCAGCATACAAGGTGTTGCAAATGGTGAATTTTTAACCATAAGATCCTGGTGGTAAGAGCACCTGGTCTTCATAGAGTCCACTTTGAGGACCGTATCCAAGGGTTTCCCCCTCCAAAAGCTTAAAATCATGAAATGGATTCAAGATTGACCACTAAACCATACACATTCTGCAGCAAAAGAGAAGCATGTTGATGCAAGAGAGCCACTTAGAAACAAATATATACATATCACATCTGCTCCCTAAGGAAGTGTGTGCAGGTTTCTAGGTCCATATTTAACCAAGGGAAATTAAAATAATCTGTGAAAAAGTCTCAGAGGAAAAAAAAAAAGTCTTTGTGCATTGACAGTTTAAAGGGGTCTGTGCCCCAAAGTGAGTCAGCTCATGGCTCCAGTGCACAATGAAGGAAACAAAGATCACATTTCTAAGTGGGAAATGTCATTCCAGCTCAGTAGTCAGCAGCCTGGGTGTGCAGAAACCCACAGACATTCAGAAACCCAACTTCAGACTCCACTTTTGAACGCCATCCTTCGGCAGCAGTGATCCGCAAGCCATGGAATACCCGCTTTATCCTTGAGACAGACTTGGTCTCACTCAGATCCAGTCTGTATTGATTGTCTTCAGCAAAGGAGAAGCCACAGGAGGCTGAGGATGCATGGACAGGATTCACATTTGTCCTCCAAAACAATCACTGGCAAGTTCCAAGCACCATTCACAGGTTGAGACTGCCTGGGCTCTTAATTTTTTCTATATATTTCTTTTACAAACATTCCTTTTCCCTCGAGTTTCCCCTCATATAAAGTCAGCAGGTGGAGGTGCGCTTCCTGTACTGTTGGATAAGGGGCACCAAGCACTCTGGAAGTCCTGTCTGGAGCAAAAAGGGGTGATCCAGAAGTTCTTGTGCTGTTGCTCTTTCCAATGGATCCCGTGTCAACATCCTCTCCAAGAAGTCTCTCAGAACGGGGGAGGTCTGTGAAAAAGCAACCAACCAAGTCAACCCTGCAAAGGGACCAGGCACAGCTCATGCAACACCAGGCTGCCAAGGTGAGTGTGGTTAAAAGGATCCTGCACATTCCCAGTCTATATCCCTGTTTTTCCAGCAAGGTGACACGGGTCACATGCTTTTTATGCTATGGACATAACTTTCTGTCACTGCTAGGCACAACACTTAGGCTGTTTTCTTTTCAATGGGATACAGTCAATTAAACTAAGACTACCTGCCACATCCTTCCATTTGAATTACTTCTGCTTCCCATTTCGTTACTTAAACTTTCCTGGATTTCAGCTCAAAAACTCTGCAGGACTCCTGCTACCTGGGCACAGCACTTGAGTGGGAAGGGGGCATCAATGCATTCTTTTACTGGTCACAGATTATGGAAAGGTAGTTAAATAGAGTTCTCTGTCACCCTGATTTCTTAATATTTTCCAAGCCTTCTGGTGTTGACATTTTTATAGCAAACTTTCTCACACACTTTCTGTAGACAGTTCATTGTTTTGCATTCCTTTATAGAAGAGGAGAAAGTTGACAGACTCTTACGTTTGTCCAGTGTCATTGGAGAAGTGGCACTGTCACCCTCCAATCCACTATCACTTTTGGAAAACTATAAATGTTAGAGTCAGAAAATAAACTTCCCTTTTACCTTCACCTTGAGAACAGCAGTGTGCACTTGTGTTCCTTCATGTCCTATAGCAACAGTTCTCCCCTAGGTTCTGAGAGCCTGAAAAACCCTCGTGCTAGTGGTACAAGAAGATGAAGAAGCTGCAGCACCAGTACCAAAAAGCTGAATGACCTCACAGGTTTGTCCTTTGGAAGGGGTGTAAAAGCCTGGTAGTAGGCAGCCCCAAGCATCACTTCATGACCCTGCACATCTCTGACTGGTTTAATGCTATGCATTATTAAAATGGAATTAAAAAATTATCTTGGCATATATTTATTTATTGTAATGCTGATAATTACACCCAGTTTAGACTGGGGGCATTTTCCCAGCTCTGGTTCCCTCAGTAGATCCTGAAATACTGTTCACACTGAGATATTGCTCATCTCAGGAGTGCTTTGGATGACTGCACTTGGGATTGCTGGAGAAGGCACCACACAGCTCAGGACGAGTGCCAGGATCCAGCCTGTATCCCTGTCTATAAATCTGCCCATGCTTTAGCAATGCAGCAGGGATTATCCCAGGTCACATCCCTTTAACCTGCTGCCCCCAGAACTGCAGTCACCAACCACAGTGAGCCATGAATGGGCACCAGAATGGAAGGCTGGATCCACAGCTGGAGCTGCACTCCAGCAGGACACTGGGGAGGATGCTCACCAGCCTGTAAATCGGTCTGCTGGAAGCCAGTCTGCTTCCCAGTACAAAGTGGAGCAGAGCAAGAGCATAACCAGCTCTGGTTGTCACAGCCTGTGGCATGCCCATGTCACCAAGCAAGGTGTGACCCAGACCAGAATGGTTTTACACTGCCCAAGGAGAGCAAGCACCAGGTCCAGAATGTGACCGTGAAATTTTAATTAGTGTTGCTAAGGCAAAAAGAAAAGAACAGCTGTTGATGTTGGAATGTGTGCTGTTAGTTCAGCAGTCTCCTCTCTTAAATAATTCAGTTTTAGCAGCTGCAGATGCTCTGATTAATTGGAAAGACTGGGTAGCTCAGGATGCTGCAGAAGCTGTTTGATCTCTCAGAGGCTGGGCATGGAATGAAAGGAAGACTTCTTTAAGCGGGCACTGAAAGGTGATCACTATTTCTTATGTCACTGCTACTTTTTCCTAAGAAACCATGGAGCCAAGTTCATCTTCTGAGCTGCTGCAGTGTCTCCATGAGTTTGCATCTGTCCTGAGCTCACCTGCTCTGACCATAATGCATCCTTTGTAGTCCTGAAGGCCATGAAGCTGAAAACTCTCATGAGCAGGGATCCTCCTGTTCCCTTCCCTGTAAGATAAGCTACTCAATCAACATCAGTAAGCTGGGAACTGCTGGGTGCACCTGAAGCAGCTCTAACCTGCACTCTCCATTTATGCCCAGGTGCCCTCACACTGCCAGGGCTGTTTCCTAAAGCAGCCACCAGCTGTCAGCAGCAGCTTGCAGCCACTAAGACCCTGAGGCCAAAACTGTTCCCCAAGAAACATGTCCGAGCAAGACCATTTCCACAGCCAGCTGTACTGGGAACAGCTGATATGGATATTTGCCCATGATAACCATCAGGCTTACAAGTGCTTGGCAGCATACTCACCCTGTGGAAGTTTTTCAGTTTGGGAGGAGGGCTGTCACGGAGTCTCTTCATTGCCTGGACTGGAGAATCACTGAAGTAGGGGGGTTCTCCATCTACCATCTCTATGACCATGATCCCCAGGGACCAGATATCCACCTGTGGGAGACAATGTCATATCAATACACACACTCCAGAGGAGCAGGTCTTTGTTTTGTTGCTTTCACAAAGACCACAACACCCCACTCAAGGCAAATGGTACAGAGAGTCCAACACTGATGCCCTTAATGCTTTTGGGCTCCTTACAGAAGTTCAACAAAGTCAATTTTGCACCCAGGACTGAGCCATGCTGGTGTTGCAACATGTAAAGGTGTGCAAGTAACTGCCTGTACCTGGCTGGTTGGTAAACAAAACTAGTCAGTCTGCTGCCACCTGCCCAGAACTCCAGAGTTCCCATGTCTGCTTTCCCTGAGGTGAGCCTCTCAGAGCTCACATCTCCCCCCCTCCACCACCTTTATGGAATTGATTTACTGATCCCTATAATGTCACAGGCTGCTCCTTGCTCACATTGGACCACAGCAGACACAAGTCTAGGCCAAGCTTTAGGTGTAAAAACACAAGAAGTTGATGCCTTGTTCCTAGAAGCAGAACAATCTGGTTTTCTACTGATTTAGGAAATATTGATGTTAACACCATCAAAGCTGTAGTCATAGTTGGGTTTGTTTTCTAAATAGGATCTAGAGACTTCCTAGAAAAGCCAATAGTTATTTTCCTGTGACACTTCAGACTGTCACTTGCTCTCCTGCTATTAGGGAGGTGGTCCCTTACCTCGGTGGTGTATGGTATCCTTGCAATGACTTCTGGAGCCATCCAATAAGGAGTACCCACTAGGGATTTTCTTTTAGGTACATCTTTACTGATCTGAGCGCAGAAGCCAAAATCAGAGAGTTTGACCTGTACAGAGAGAAAAGCAACCAACCTTAAAAATAAGCCTTAAACAACACAGAGGGAAATGCTACAGACAAAGAGAGTAAAAGGACAAGGGGAAAACAAGGGATTGGGAGCAGAAAGGAAGTAAGAGACAGAAGCTGCAGCAGCAGAAGACAGGAAACAATTTGTCTGAGGAAACACACCCTGCCATCCAACGTCAGAAGGATGGAGTCGCTCTTGATGTCTCGGTGAATGACCCCCTGAGAGTGGAGATAGGTCAGAGCCTGCAGCACCGACTCACACACTGTGGCAATCTGCTCCTCGTTCAGCCTGCAATTACAGACAGGGCACTTAAACTGTGCAGAGCATAGTGCTCCTTCACAGGGGCTCAGGGGTTGAAACACAGACACTTTGGTTCCCTGTGACAATCACCATCTCACCATCACCATTTTTCCACGTCTGTTACTGAGGAAAACATTTTTTACTTGAGGCTTGACAACTTTAAAGTTTTCATAGGTTTAATACCGAGAAATTGCGCTTTGAGTTCTGTACCTAAATTCATTCTGCAAGATGCTGTTTCAAGCAGTTCTGACAGGCAGCAGTGCTGCTTGATGCCAAGGTGCTGCAGTAACTGGTGAGACAGCTTTTTTTAAGCAAACACAGTAAAGACATTATTCACAAGGCTTATTGTGCAACTGTATCCACAAAAAAATCCCAATGCATGATTCGACAGCAAATATAGGGATCCTTTAGGATCCTTTAGGTGTTTGCAGACACCTGGGGTACACTCACACCTAACTAAAGATAGCACAGGCTACAAGCAGGGAAGGCACTACTGATTTCTACCACTGTTAGCACATGGAATATGAGCCCCAAGAAGCCTCTCTTTAGAAGCTGCTGCTGTTTAGAATAGCAATACAGAAATCTTCACAATCAAGTGAAAGTGGTAGAAATGAAAATTCTCTCCTGTATCTGGGGACAGTGACAGCTCTGCATGTTTACACTGAGCAATGCTAGAAGCAAATTATTTCAAAGAATGGCTGAAGTACCAATTTGAGTACTGTGGATTCTCAGCCTGTCTCTAGCAGTTGTTCTGAACAACCCCTGGTTGAGGACAGAAATGAAACCTCCTCAAATGTGGATCTGCAAGTGAGCCTAAGGAGAAGAGAGCACTCAGAAGGCAGAACTGTGCAGTGAACAGTACCTTCTAAACCCATAACAATTCCTAGACCATCAGCTGAGAAATCTACACTTGTGCTGCTTGTGTGGCATCCCATACCTCACTCTTCCAAACCAGGACAGCTACAAGGTTGTACCTGCACTGTGCCACACTGATGGCAACTAAATCTGAGGGATATCAGGGGGCTACTTCTGTCTTTAAGATTTAACCTGAAAAGGGAGAGGGAAAAGGCTACCTGTGGCACTTCCCAGCACAGAACCCAATGCCTTTAGGAACAGTGCTGTTCCTTTCATAGTGCCTGAGCTGATCACCTGAAAGCCCTGGGGTTCCCAAAGATCACAAGAGGTGCACTTTCACCCTGTCACGTATGGAATTTGGTTTCAGTCAAGTGACTGCATAGTGTAAAACAGATTACTGGAGGATTACCTCACTCCTGGAGACGTAAATCACTTATCCCCCTCAGCAAAAGTTTAATGACTGCAATGATGGCATTTTCCTTCCTGGGAAATACTGATAAAGGTTTGCAGCTTACTTCTGATAAATGTTTTGGTTATAACAGATCCTTCTTCCATCATGAGGCTAAAAAAAAGCATTCACTAACAGGTTTAAAGGAAGCTTCTTTAAACAAATCTGGGCTGAGGTCTCACTGGTGGATATAAATACACAGACCCTTCATAAACCTCTTCATCACTTTTTATCTGCAATTCAGTACTGGCCAAGAGCTACAGGAGTTTCATTGGCCCTGTAAGCTGTAACTGAGCACTCCTCAGAATTAAATGTTGGCTTGCAGACCCTGAGATGCCTCTGAACTCAATTCTGGAAGGGCCTGCCCAGGTAAGTGTCTCCAGGGCACTCCTTCCAAGTGGGGTTGTGGAGGCTACAGAGGACAATGTGGCTCTTGATGCCTCTCAAAATTGTACTTCCAAAACTCAGAACCCAACAGAGCAAGATACATGCCTTAAATCCACCAAGCAGAGTAAGATACATGCCTTAAACCCACCACAGGACCTAGGCCAAGCTGATATATGAACTAAAGGTATACTATGGTTTTTTAAAAACTGAATACAATTAGTGCTATCAATACTGCCTAACTGTAATCCAGTTAAGATCCAGAATCTTCCAAAAAGAAACTCTCACCCTACAGACCTTCTTGGTCAGTCTCTCCACTGGCATTCCCTGTCTCAGTTTCCAGCCTTGCAGGACTGCTCTGAAGCAGGAGGAGGGTGCTCCAGAGTCGTGGGTAAGACACAATCACCATAACTGCATCATCAGAACACCTTCTGAGAGGGACCAGAGGCCATCTGAGAACAACTTATTTGCCCTACAGAAATGCCTTGGGAACTATTGAATATGAAGCAATATAGATAAGGAAACAAATTTAGGAGAGTGTCCAGTAGTTGCTATCTTTAGGCAATGAAATTTGGGAAGGAGTCCAGATCTCAAGGCTTTGCTGCACTTCTCCAGAGAAGTTAGTGAGGTTGAATTTGTGGCTAAGGTTGCACCACTGAAAACTATTTCTTTAATACTTATTCAATGAAGGTCCTGGCCAGGATTCAACAGATACAGTAAACACTTATATAAGTACTGTGTTTTACAGGGAAGGTCATCAAGGAGATGACTAGTGGGTATCTAAAGGGATCAGTACTTTAAATTAGTCCCTTTTACATCAGAAGTATTATCACATACTCAAAATTGATAACAGTTATAAACTGTAGTAGTTTCAGAGCACTGCAAACACAAGATCTCTAAGGGAACCAATTTGTCCCAGAAATCCCCACTCTGCTGTCCCTGCTCTCCCATGTTGATGTCTGGGATTTTGCTTTGTACCTGATCTGAGACACGATGTCTGTGAGGGCTCCTCCCTGCAGGAACTCCATCAGCACCCAGAGCTCTTCTCCCACGAGGTAGCTCTTGTACATCTCCACAACGTTGACATGTTGATAGTCCCTCATTATCACCACCTGTAAAACCACAGTGGACAAGTGACCACCACAAAATCACCACACTTCATCCTATCCAACCAAGTGAACACACACAGCCCTGCAACTCCAGCACAGAGCCTCCATCCCCCAGCAATAGCTGGTCTTGGCACGAGCATAACACTACTAAAAGGAAGATGATCCTGCTCTTCCCTTCCTGTTGCCACACTGATGGCTCCAGTGAGGACAGCAGAATCCCACTGTCTCCAGCACTCTCACCTCATTGAAGAGGAGCTCCCGGCGCTGCTGCTTCCTCAGGTCCATCATTTTCACGGCCACCTGGCGCCCCGAGTGCTTCTCCCGAGCGATGCACACGATTCCCGTGGAGCCTTCCCCAATCTTGATGTAGTTTTCCAGCAGTGCCCTGGGATCTCCCTGGTCCACAACCATCCTGAGGGCAGCTTTGAACTGCTCGTGAGTCACAACCACAGGGTCCTCACTGGCTGGCTGCCCCTTCCCAGCAGAGTCCTGGGGCAGGTGGAGGTTGCTGGAGCTGGTCTGGGTCTGCCTGTTCCTGGGGGACCCTGCTGGGGAGGGCCGGCCTGGTGGCACTGCCACAGCCTTCTCTGCTGTTGGGGACTTCTGGGGGGTCCCAGCTTCGGAGATCATCCTGGGGAACTCGGAGGCAGGTTGGTCTGGGGGGAGAGACTGGGCTTTGGCTGCAGGGCTGTGCGGGGAACCCCACTGCTGGGGCTTGAAGAAAGCATTAGGCTTCAAGAACAAAGGGGAAAAACAAAGTGATGGTTGGATTAACAAGCAGAGAGGTGAGGAATCAGCTCTGTGTCATCCCACTCTGCCCTAGCACACCTGGGAGCAGACTGGAGTCAAGAGCTTCAGATTCTTGTCTCCAGGTCTGTCCAACATTTGGCTTGGATGAAGATCTCCTTAGATGCAAGATCTTCAAGAATCCCTTAGGGAATGGGTGCTACGCTTTAGCGGCCTCCAAATTGAGGCAGTTTAAAGGGAACATGCTTTAAGAAAACCACCAAGACACAAAACCCACAGAAAAAAACCCCAGCTGCTAAAAAGCATTCCAACCTTGCCACCAAAAATCAGGGGCAACCTGTGCTGCAGAGAATTTGAAAATCCTTTATCCCTCCATGCCTCTGATCTTCCTTTGTATAAAAGGAAAGGGGATTCATGCCAAGGCTGTAAATCACTTTGAAGTCTTGGCCTAATTCCCTTTGGGTAATTACACTCTGCCTACTGAAAACACTCTCTGCACTTTCCACTGGTACCTGCAGAGCATTCCTGTCGATCAAGCATGGAATTAGCTCTCCACTTTGGGAAAAGCACCAGGCACCAGGACAGCTGGAGGCAGCCAACATAAGACTCCTGCTACACAGAGCCACCGGCCCCCTTGCTGGCTTAAAACTGACCTGCAGTGAATTTGGATTAGCAATGCTCGAGGTTTTTGGAGACCTCCCACTCAAATGACAAGCAGGCCCAACCCTATTTAGTGTAGGAGATGTAGTAAGATCACAGCCTGTGGGAATGTGGCTTCAGGATATGCATTCCCATGCCAGGAAAGATAAACACTGTCGTGCTAATACTCACCCTGGAAATGTTGATTAATTAAAATCAACAGCATTTAGCAGGTGAGGTACAAAATACATTATATGCGTACATATGTATATGTAAAATATACATAGTATATGTATATAAATACATGCAAAATAATGGTAGATCTGTCAAAGAAGCAACTTCAGAAAGAGCAAACCCATCATTTATATTATAGGGCAAAACAGAAACTTCAAAGCAAAAAGCTTTTTCTCTCTCACAATTCAGAGAGATTATTAATAAAGTTAATAATATGGGCATGGGAACTGAAAACTGCCAATCGAGAATTTTTTACAAGAGCACTCATTTTCCCTGTCTCAGACAGGGAATAATTGTGTAGGATTTAATTCTATGCACTTTGGGTTTTAATCAAGGATTTTTGTCAAGAGCAGAATCTGCATAAGCCTCACACACAGAGAGGCCCTGGAAAACACGACTGAGCAGCATCAGGGCACAGCACAAACACAACTGCCTGTCAGGAGCTCCTTCCTCCCCGTACACCAGCTCCACCCCTGCAGTCCTGTGCTGACATGCTCACAGCAACACAGAATTTACTTCCCAAGTCTTGTTTTGTCTCAGGAGAGAGAAAAAAACCCACGTTTTACATAACCCAGAGCATGCAGAAGGGCACACAACATGCATGCAAGCTCACACATGTTTGCTTAACCACATATAAGTCTTATTTCCTGCTCCTGTAATCTAACAGTCCCCATGCACATGTTCTCTGTCTTGGGACATTTTGAGGTGTCACTGGTTCTACCACTCCTTCCCTTCATAAGGAAGGTGCATTCAAACTTACCATGGTGCTTTTCAAGGCACTACCTTTCCATTTCAGCCAGCTACCCAGCCAAGTGGTGGATGCTCCATCTCTGGAAGTGCTCAAAATCAGGCTGGAGCAGCCTGGTCTAGTGGAAGGTGTCCCTGCCCATGGCAGGGGGTGGAACCCAATGGACACTGAGGTCTCTACCAACCCAAACCAGTTTGGGATTCCATGATTCAGTTCTATTACTGTTCCTTTAATCTGCAATTACACATTTCTTACACATCATCAGCTCCATTAGAGCAGGAGACCCAGGTTTTCATCATCAGAGACTGGTAAGAACATCTCAGATAAACAACTATGGCACAGATCCCTCACTGGAGTAGGGAGATAGATTAGTCCTAAAGGTCTTCCCTATTCCTCTCCTCTGACAAACAGCTGGAGCTCACACACTCCCAAGCACATTCACTGGGCTGGCAACTTCTGGTCCTGCTCCTGGAAGTGCTGAGCATGGCAAAGACACTCAGGGGAAAAGAGAAGTGGCCAGTTCTAGGTACTCAGGGGACAGGCCTTGAAGCAGTTTAAATCAGCCCAAAGCCACTGAGACAGCAATAAGTGCAGTTTGTGTTACACAAGGACTGCATTCTCTCAAAATCCTCTCCCACTGTGCCAAAGCCTTGAGCCTGGATCCTTATACAAACTGCAAGAAACTGGATTGGAGACATCTCCTCCCTGCAACACCCTTCAGAACAGTCAGGTTTGGTTTGGACAGTGGTTCCTGTCATCTTCCTCCCAGTTCACAGCTGTTGGGAATCAGCCAGGCCCAGCATCACCTTTGAAGCCATGCACAGAAGATGGATGCTGGGTCAGCCCAGAATGGAAAAGAAGCAATGGCTGCATTTCCTATCCAGTACCAGGAACCAGAGATTTTCAGTTTAACAAGAAATGAGTCATCCATTCAGGACAGCTTTCCTGGGGGAGCTGTAGCTATGAGCTGTCACACCCTTTACAAAATCCAACAGTCTGACTTCCTGTGTGACAGCACCGTGGGTGCTGCTGCAAACCCTGCTGCTCTAGTGGCCTGGCAGATAGAGCTATAACCAACACACTCCCCCAAGGTAGTTCTGGTTTACACAGGCAGAAGAATACTCTGCTAATGCAAATCGTGGCAATTTCCCAAATGGCAAAGGCTTTTTGGGGCCAGCAGAATGGCATTGCAGTTATGCCTTTGCCTCACAGAAGGCAGTGACTAAGACCCCTCGTCCTTCCCAGCCCACGCTCCTGCAGCTCCGCCAAACCTTCTGCTGGAGATCTGGCTGCCATCCTGAGCTGTGCCTTGCAGCATCTCGTGGAGCTCAGGCGGACCACACATTTCCTCTGCTCAGGACTATTTAATTCCAACATTAATCATAACAAGAACAGATGGTTACCCGATGTTTGCAATTAAATTGGCTGCATATGTAACCTCTGGAACTGTAAAGTCAACACTGCAGTCCAGTGAATAACTCTTACCTTGATCTGCAGGGGAGGGCCCGGCTTGTTTGAGGCGCTGGACGAGGGGAACACGCTGCGCAGGAGCCTCCTCTTGAGGCTGTTCTCCCGTGATTTGGAGTTGGGGCTGCCCTCCCCCGAGGGCCTGGTGCTGGGCTGGCGCTGAAGCCAGCCCTCCTCCGGGCTCCTCGTGGCCGTGTCGCTCTCCCCTGGCACAACGGGCACGTGCTGCAGCCCAGAGATGCGCTGCACACAGCTGCCATCGGCGCCCTGGAACTCCGAGGGCCCCAGGGACTGGGCTTTTGTCACCATGCCGTTGGGATGAGACTGCCCTTCCAGGCGGGGCTTGTAATCCGGCCACATGGTCTGCCTCCGGGCCACCTTGGACCCACCATTGCAGTTGAGGTAGTTCCCGTACTTGTCTGCCCAGTCTCCTTCAGGACTCTGAAGGTACATGTCTGGGGGTCTCTCATCTCCCAGGAGCCCGAGGGACTGGGCTCTCCTCCTGCTGGTGGGGCTCCTGCCTCTCAGAGTGTTCGAGCTGATGGCAGAAAGCTTCTGGATGTCATTGAGCAACCCAGAGATGTAGCCTTCCACTTCCACGGTGCTGCCCCGCACCACGGTCTGGGAAACACGGGGAAGGTGAGAAACAAGTCAGTGTTGTAAGAATCAAGGCTCAATTTGTCTTACCAAAGGTTAGATTTTGTACATGTAGCCAAAGACAATTCAAGGAATTCAGGAAAAATTACCAATTTTTGTCTTTTGTTTCAATGTCCTTTACTGAGGGAAAATAAAAGTCCTTGGGTTACATCCTGCTGTCAGAGCAGCAGTGCTGTCAGCCAGAACAGTCAATTCTGCTGTTGTGCTCACATTCTAAAAGACTATGTTAGAGCAAAACTGGGATATTTCAACACTCCTGGCTTTCTTGTGCTGAAACTGTGTGACACTACATACATCACTAATGCACTCACCAAGCTCCTGAAATATTAGTTCTCAGAAGTTCCAGCATGCTGCAAGCTCCATTTGCAAAATTCACCTTTGCTGTGTCAACACAAGGTTCATCTCTCCCCTGAAGCGCTCTCAATAGCGTTGTAATCAGCGTCCCTCAGTCTGCTTCTCTACAATTTCTGCTAATACATCCCAATCCTGACCACTGCAGACTGTGCTGCTCCAACTCTGCCTCCCTGCTCTACTCTGCCAAGCTATTATAATTAAAAATGATGAACAAAGGGTCACAGCAGCTCACAACTGCCCTGTAAGCAAACACTGAAGAACAAGGCTTCCATCCAAACAGACACCAGCTCTGTACAGTAGGACAACTTGAAGCTGTTGGTATATTAGGTAGTGTTCTACCTTGTTTTTTTCTGGAACTGAAAAGCTTACAGAAGCTTTTCCAGTGCTGGGAACCAAAATGTTTCATTTCTCCACAGAAATTTGCAGCACAGGATCACTCCTACACTTTCCTGAACCTCTGCTTGAGGAAAGTCCTTCCCTGGAGTGACAGCAATCTTCTGTTTGCTAACTGAGCTCCAGGGATCTTCTAAACATGCTGAATTAATTACTGAGACTAATACTTAGCTGGTGCAACACAGTAGCTCCAGTAATTTCAACAGAACACCACCACAGTGCACAAATGAGCACCTGGTTTGCTCAGCATCTGAGAACGAAAGGCAGAACAGAAGATTTTTGTTCAACAGGGTGAAGAAAGGACAACTCAACTCACTCCATGGCACACACACCAGCTGCAGCTGGAAATTCTGGTCTTCACTCCTACTCTCTCACCACACACACACCCCTTCCTCCACAGCCCAGCTGCTGTCACGGAACAATCTGCTGGGGACACGAACTTTTTGTCCAAAATTGACAAAAGTAATTCCAGAAAGACACGGGTATTCTCAAAATAAGAAGACTCTAACAACATGCTATGGCCTCTCCAGAAAATCCCCTGCAGTGCTCTTGTCCCCTTCTAGCTAAAACTCCCTAGAATTAGACTCAGGTCACACCCATGAAGTCAGACCTAGCCCCAGCAGACAGGGAAGATGGGAGTCTTGCTTTGCTTCTATGTTTAAGCATTGCATCAGATTAATGAGGAAACACCCAAATTTGAGCCAGATGCATATGGAGTGCTCTTACATAGCTCATGCCTTACTGACCAAAACTGAGAAATTCTAATAAGAAAAACACCTTTTTATAAACTACACACAAACCCAGGAACTACTATGATAATTTAATCCAGGACTATGTACAAGGGCTTGGCCAACTAGCACTTGAAAAACAAAATCGAATTGATTGGTATCATCGAACCAGAGTTAATTCAAATGGAGTTTACCAGAAACAGTCAGCTTTGTTATGCAGTCCATGAGAGTGCTTGCATTTGGAATTACTGGGAAAAACAGTGTTAGTTTAAAATGATTCTTTAGTTTTTTAAAGCCTGTTGGGTATTCTGTCCTTGTTCTCTAAAGGATTTGCACCTCCTTTCAGCTTTTACCATCCTCGGGTTGAGTAAGTCAGACATGAAAGTCCTGACCAGAATAAGGCTCAGGGCAAACTCCAGGAAATCTCTTCACACACATTTCTGTTTCAACAGTGATGCCTCACTATTTTTTGAGCATCCATGGCCTAATACTTAAGGAAATTTGGCTTGCTCTGGAAACGCCATCGGTGCAGTGCCCAGAGGCTCCCTGAAGTCAAGATACAGGGGAGTGCCATCACTTCTCCCTGACCCAAAGCCCCCTGCCCTGTGATTAATGAAAATTGGGTTGCTTGATGTGATTCTTTTCTTGATAAATCCATACTGGCTGCCAGCTATTACCCTGCTATCTCCTTGGAAGTGGTTGCAAATAGATTACTTGCTTATTTGTTCCAGTCTCTTTCTGGGGATAGAAATTATTCTGACTGATCTGCAACTCCTTGAATTTCATTAGGCCCAGCTGACTTGAAAATATGCAACTTCTTAGCTAAGCCTCATTTCTGTTCCTGTTCTTTTCTTATTCTGATCTGCATTCTCATCCCTTCATCCTCATGCTAATTGTCAGCCCACTGATCACACTTAATGAAGACCAGAGAAAAATCATTAAACACTTAGGAATTCTCGGTATCATCTGTTAACTTTCTTCCAAAACCCGCAGTGAACAAATTCTTTCCTTCATCCTTCTTCTCCTCCTCATTGCCCCCATGATGTGTCCTCAGTGCCCTTTATGTTCTTTGAGAATAACATCTCTTTTTTTGTGCATTGCCCTTCCAGTTTCGCTCCTACATGAATTTCTTTTCTCTTTGCCCTTTATAACTTGACCTAGTTTCCACCCTTCTGAGCAATCCTCCCGCAGTTTAAGCTCATTACAGAGCTCCTGATCTAACCAAGTTGGTCTCTTATTACACATTTTATCTCTCCTCTGGATTGTGCTCCTATCCCTCTACTATATTTTGAACCTCAAAGCACATTCAGGACACCAGGTAATACCTCCTGTCTTTTTTTTCCCCACCTATTCTTCTTAAGCAAGTTTTTCCTTTATAAACCAGCATTCTGCTCCAAGATCCTGATGAGCCATTTCATTTGTAGGTTTGATTATGCACCAAAGCTTACATTATACCAAATATAGTCCTCTTTATTCCCCATGCTTTAAGCACCTGTACACAAAAAGCTAAATATATTCATCAGATAGTCAACTCTTTTTTTATATCCCTTCGAAAACCCAAGTAGCAACATCTCTGTTTTACAGCACACCTTCCAGTTTTCAGGCTCCTGCAGGGTTTTTTGCCTTTTTTTTTTAACTGGGAACAAAAACTTCTCCCAAGCAAGCAAGATTTTAAGCACAATATTTCTGTCACCATCTTTCATTTCCTCTCCTGAGAGGTCACCATGAAGTTGCCTTTTCCCACAGCATGTTCCTGCTGTCACTTACACAGTCTCCAGATGCCAGTACCAGCAGCCATCTAAACCCACCCATCTACAGGAATCACTTCTTTTTCCTTACTGAAGGACATTGTTCCATTTCTATGTCCCACTTTCCATTAAAACGCTGGTTTATTAACCCTTTTAGCCCAGACCCTAGTTTAGTCCTTGTGTTCCTTGCTTGTCCGTGAACAGCAAGGCAGTGCTACATTGCTCTCTCTCCCACTTAGGCTTCCCTGGCAACTTAATTACCAGCCAAATTTTCTCACCCACAAGAATGACAAGCCTTCTAAAACAGGTCTCTCCACAAATTCTTCTCTTGGCTCCCCTGTACAACAGCTGAACGCATCCTGGGTCCTGTCAGCTACCACAGGAGCTTTCACAGGTCCCCATCACTGTGACAGGCAGCCTGGTTATTTCAACAGCAACAGGTCAGGATCCTACTGTCCTTATTCCTGATGAAGTTACTATCACCTTGGGCTATCAAAGCCTGCTATCCACTGAATTCCATACAGATACCACCCTTAGTCCCATTCATGGGGCACCAGAAGCAGAGCCTCAACTCGGAGGCAACTCCCTGAGGAACAGGAAAGAACTTTCTGCCTCCCTCACCTTCATAGGCTGGAGCTGCATCCTTGTGATTCTTGAAGGGTCTACCACTGGCTTGGGGCGCCTCAGCGTGTCCAGAATATTCTGCCATTGAGGAGGCAGGCCCACAAATTTGCCCTCCTTTGGGTCAAACGAGGTGTGGACACGGTGTTCAAAGTTCTGTGGGGCCGAGATCTCCGGGCGTTTCTTCTTCTTCTTCCGGAACATGATGCCTGAGGGGGAGAGGGCAACACGGTCAGTGCCTGTCTAGGGCTGAAGGGCCCAAGCAGTAAAATCAGGTATCAATTCTATGAGTTAATTATGTTGTATTGAGACCATTTTCCAGTGAAAAGCACTTTATCAGGAGTTGATCACCTGCTTTTATAGATGAGGAAACAGGGACCAAGAGAGCAATGATTTTGCCCAAGGCCACCTTGCAGGTTCATGGCTCAGATGGGATTTCTAGTGACTTCCCTTATTTCTACAAATTCATATTGCCTGATAAAACTATTTAAAAAGTAATTAAGAGATACATATTTATATTTTACCTGCTTATACCTACATTAAATGGCTTTGGAATCCACCAAGTTAAACAGCATTGATTCCACCACAAGCCTGAAATTTAAGGTGGCAATGAACAGGGCTCAGGTTGTCTTCCCACTGCTTACTCCAAGTAAGTAATATCTACTTGGTTCCCATTTAATGACAGCAGAGCTGTTGCCAAAGGAAGAGCTGCCAGAGACTGACTCTGGATCTCAGTTTTTCTTGCTTAGACAGAGGGCTCGGGAGGGAGGGAGGAGGTGGTAGGTGGAAATCAAACTCTGTCAGCAGGTAGCTGAAGAAGCTAAAATTAAAAACTAAGATTCTTTTCCCTTGGGGGCTTGAGAGAGACAGCTTGTGTGAACAGCCAGTGCAAGTGCAACAAGCCAAAAGCACCTAACACTGAAATATACCCAAACACAGGAGACTTCAAAATCTGAATTAAGAATTTATAAACAAATTTATAACCAAAAAATATACTTAGACAGAAAGCTCAGAGACTGGACCTTTCTGAAATCGGGCAGATATGAAGGAAAAGGAAGAACCAGAGTTGTGCATGCAGACAAGAGGTGGGAAAGCTGGAGGACTGCAGTGGATTGACACAACCTCTTCACAAAAACCAGATACGGAAGACAGGGTGAGGTAAGGAGATTTTCTATGGAGAGCCAGGTTTTTCACAGTGGGGAGTGGTGGGAGTGAGAGACAGACAGGCATAAATCAAAACAGGAATGGTCCCAACAGCATAGAAGGAAAAGCTTTCCTGTGACCAGGAGAGTCCAACATTGGAGCAGCCTGCCCAGACAGGCTGGGCAAGCTCCATCCTCAGGGGTTTGCTCTCAAAGCCAAAGCCCTGAGTAATCCAGCCTGACCCTCCAAGCTGACCCTGCCTTGAGCAGGGGGGTTGGGCTGCACCTTTCAAGGCCCCTTTTCCCTGACTCTATTTACTGCTTTAGGAATAAGCTGCACAGGTTTTTTAAAGCAATTAACATCTGCCAGTAAACAAAAATAACAATACTTATATGCTCTTCCTTTTCCAAAGACAACATTCCTATTGGCATTTGCCTCCCACTAACACTGTTACAGCCATGAATGCCATCTCTTCCCCCACATCAGGCTTAGGATTTTTACCACTTAATCTTCAACTTTGTAGCAGTCACTCTTCCCCTGTACAGGACCTCAGTTTCCAACTATTTGTGCTGAGTAAATATTTACAAGGGTCAGAGAGACAGACTGCATAGAGAGATAACCCACTGCAGTGTAGACATGAACACACTTCTGGAGGACACCAGTCTCCAAAATCAGCACATCCCAGTGAAAACTATGTCAAACATTTCCCAGATTGTCCCACTCTAAACTTGTTTAGGGAGCAAAGTGCAGCCACCACCTGAACAATGGCTTTGCTCCCCGGTGCTAGACTGGGATTGGATTGAAAATCCAATACACAATGGTTCCCAGTTTGGTTACAATGACCCTGCAGTCACAGGGATAGGAAGTGTTTGTATGGCAGAGAAGGACTTTGCTCCATCTAACCCCCCATTCAAGCAATCCACCCTTGGTGAAACACCAACTTCACACACACTGTCCATTTCAACAGCCTACTAAAGATACCTCACAGGTGAAAAAGAAAACAAAAGGTTAGGAAAGAAAAGAAAAAAAACCAAAAAGCTTACCAAAGAGGCTGGAAGCAACTGCTCTGCCTAGAAGAGATTTTTCAGCCAGAATAATCTTTGCTTAGAACAAGCTCCAATGAAAACTCAAATAGATCTTAATGGAGAGCTTATGGGAAGGGTGTCTGTGCTCCAGGTCTGTATTGCAGCTCCTCAAACACAGTGATTCATCTCTCAGGCCCCTTAGGTGCTGCTTATTAAGTAATAATCAAGACTAAAGTCAGAGGGCAACTCTTTAAGGAAAAAAAAAGTGCAGACAATCCCAGAAAGGAAAGATACTCTAATAGCTCGTGGTGTTAGTAGTGCTCAAACCAACAGCTGGAGCTGCTGAGGAGCTTGAGAGCCTCCAAGGAAAGCAGGGAGTAACTCTGTAGTATTACAGCAAGTGGTTCAGTTCTGAATCCTTGACTACATGTGAGTTATGACAGCTCCTTGATCCACCTTAACCCAGCCACAGCAATCCCAGGGATCTTACTATTTCAACTAGTACCTCTTCTTCTGCTCCTACTCTCACAGCCTCATAATGAGAGGATACCCAGGGCACAACAGACAGTCTTAAGTTTGCTTTTTAAGTGCTTCATGTGGCAAAGGGTCCTGTAAAACAGGGTGTTACAAATGCCACAATCATTAGCACTTGTAGCATCAATGGTTTTCTGAACCATTTCCTGATTTCCTCATAACAAGAATGATTCTGGCTTAAGTATTTCAAAATGCAAAATTTTAAAGCCCAGGTGATATTTTGGCCCCAACCAGAACAGTGGCTCTATTTCACCATCCCAGCTTGCAGAAGCATAAACACAACACTACATTTGTATATTTACATAAAATCCCTATCCCTGACAATCAACATGTGGACTACAGCTGGATCCCATAGCCAAAAGCATGCTTCCAAAACCCAGAAAGGAGCCCCTACTGAGTTCCTGGTCAGTTTTAAGTGACTGGTTGGCATGGCCTGCATCTGCCTTATTGGCTTAAAACAGACAGCTTAAAAACAACAAAATGTAATCAGCTCCAAATACAACACACCCCTGGGCATCCAGTGGCATTTGCTCTACATGGTCAGCATCAATCCCTGATTATAAAGAGATCAGACAGGTGGTTTAAAGGTAAACTGCATTAGGATCAAATGAAATACATACACTAAAAATAGTTATTTGAAATCCAATGAATTCTAATAATCTTGGTAGGTTTTGCATCTCATCGAGGAGGTCTGTATTTAACCAGTCTCCTTTCACTTTGTGGTTTTCATGCAAGATCTATTTACTTGCATTTCCAATGCTCAGCTAAAGAATATTTATTGTTAAATAAAAGACATAAACCAGGCCTTTTCTAAGTCAGTAAGAAATTCATAAGAACATTTTATGCATATAAGATTTTGTAAATCAAGCCAAACCTGTATTTAAACATAGACAGCATCCCTTTAATATAACAACACAAATACTGTGACACTGATTTTATAATAATCTACTAGACTTTAGTCTTTCATTCAGTGCTGACAACTGTACTGTAAGAAATGTCACAAACATAAATAATAAAAGTCACTACCACAAGACAAAAGCAGTCGGAGATTGAAATTCTCTCAGCGATCCATTCCTGCTGCCTGGGAAACCACGTTAGGTTTTTCAACTCCAGATATAGCTGTTCCTGGATGATACAGTTCCAAAAGCTGTCACATCTGCCAGTGAGCACGAGAAAAAATCCCACAGCCAGCAGATCCAGAGCAGGGGGAGGGATCAGCTGGGAAGGAGGGGCAAGAAGAGAGAGGGGTCAGCCTCAGATGAGAGGAAGGGGTGGGAAGATTAAGGATGGAAGGGGAATGAGTGTTAGTAAGGGAGAGAGGAATGGTTGGGAGATAGGCAACCCGAGGAGGAGGGCACAGAAAAGAAGCAACATCACCCGGAGGGGAAGAAAAAAAAAAAAAAGAAAAAAAAGAAGTAGATAAATGTTATCAGGAGTGGCTCGTTCCAACGCCCAGACAAAGGCAGCAGCATGCACTGCCTTTTCACCCGACCTGCCTCCACCCTGCTCACGTCCAGCCACACGTTCCACTAGGACACCGCGCCGTACGGAGCCGTGCTCATAGCCTCCCTCACTCACACATGCACTTGATGATAGCACGGCAGCACAGAGCTACTTCAGTCTCACTTGTGCAGTTTCCAGTTAAAAATAAGCTCTCCCTCCCCCTCCCTGCTGCAGCACTGAACTCGCTCATCAGCTCATTGCGTCGCTATCGCAGATCTGGATGCAGTTCCCTACATTCCTCCTGCCCCGGACGAGAGATAACGCTTGGTCCCTGGGCTCAAGAGAGCCATTCCCATCATTTCCAAGTCCTCCCACAGCTGATCTGCCAAACTGCTCTGGCCAGCTCCAAGAGGAGAGGGAGAGAAGGAAAACTCTTCCTACAGGACCTGAGGAACTGCAATATGCAGATTGAGTTTGCAGTGGGAAGATGAAGATCCCAGGGAACACACCAATTAAAAGGAAAAAATGTATTTCCATACTCTGCTACTCAGGTCACTGTCATGTGCTGCATTTGAAATGGATTACAGGTTAACTAGGCCATTATCCATGCATGTCATATGCATGTGTTCACACAAATGTATGTGTGAATATGCACACATGGAATTTCACTGCATCCCATACCTTCTAAAATACTCATGTTTGCCTTCCTGAGGTTTCCAACACTCTTAGTATTTATAACAAGCCATAAACTATCACAGCAGTTTGCAAATAAAGGGAAATGACAGGTTAGGTCCCTGAAGAGCTGACAAACTCGAACGTGACTTCACACAGCGGGGAATGGCAACAAGGGTCAGTGAAAGGGAAAAAGAAAAGCCAAACGGTCCAAAATCTGAAATGGGATCTAAGAGCACTGTCCTGACACCTTCTACATTTTTCTGCAATTCTAGTTTTAGAAATATTGAAGTATTTTTTTCCTCCTAAAGGAAGAGTGAATATTTCCTAGCTGTGCTATCCCTTTCCTCATTGCAAGTCCTTTCCTTCTATTCCTTTCTCCCTCACCAGCCCCCCATGGCAAAGCTGCATGTTGGAGCAAAGCAACAGCACAGCAAACTGATGTAATGCTCTAAATCCTGCCCAAACACACACGAGAGCACAGATTAATATTACATTAGAAATAAGCTTAGGGAAAGACATATTTGTTATATTGGTGGGTTTATTTCTGGGGAATGAGAAGAACAGCACAACTGGTTGGACATTTTTGGCCATGCCTCCACTGAGCAGGGTCTGAAGGTGCTGCCTCTCTCTCCTCTGCTCCATTTCCTTGCTCATAAATTAGGACTAAATCCCAGTGAACGCCTGTTTGCTCAGCTTGTTTGGGATGCTGCTGGGTTACATACTTTTAGATGTGTTTTAGTTATACCGTACCAAATTCATTCTGGGACATATATAAAAGCACTTGCAAAGAAAAGACCTCTTGAACTTTACAAAACCAGCACAGGCATGTACCAAATGCTAATGGGCTTTATCCCTTAACAAATAAAGTTTTCCATTATTTACAGTCCCCTAGAAATCCCAGCTGAAGTCACCATCCCATTGTGTCTGTCTCTGAAGTCAGGCCCCACCCTCTGGAGGTTTCATCTAAACAGACTAAAGGTGAGGAAAGGGAATTATTATCCTCATTTGCAGATGAGACAAAAAAAATTACTAGCCCAGTTTCTTCCCACCTATGTCTAGATGAGCAAATCTACAACATCTTTGAGCTATGTCTCCTGGCTGCTTTTTAACTTTATATCAAGGCCACATCCAGGCCCAACACACCCTGGCTTGGATGGAAAACATGGGTGCAGGGCCCCAGTGGAGGCCAAGACATGCTCTGACCACAGGTTTGATCTCAACACCAGCATGTAGGTCCAGAAGCCTTGACAGAACTAAGCAGCACAGACAGAAATCACACCCAAACCTCAGCTGCAGTGCCTTCATTACAAGACCAGCCTCTCCCCCTTGAGCTCAGTGTGTGAGAGGGTACAGCCACCAAACGCTGCTGCAGCACCAGGGAAGGCAGATCACTCATCATGTCCTTGGCACACAGAGGCAGCAGGACGTGTGCTGCAGGTCACCAGGCTGAGACCAAAGCCACAAGAACTCTGACCCTTCTCCCCCACCTTTTATGTGATTCATGTGGCTCATGTCCTGTTCTGGCTGTACCAAGCCATGCTGTGATGCACCTGACACTCACGTCACACCCACATCCCCTCCCTGACCCCTGTCCAAAGAGCAGCTACATTGCTCCACATGGATTTCTCCACATTATTTTGCTATGAAGGATGCATCAGGGTTAAAACCAGGTTGCTGTATTTTGCTGTTAATCCAAAGCCCCACAGAGCTTCAAGACAGGGCTTGATGGATTCAGGGCTTCACTCTTCACTGTCTTGTGTGACAGATCCATTCAAAACCAGCATAAAAGTACTACTGAGATTAGAATAAGAACATTTAAGGTCCTCTCTCCAAAAATCCACATGAATAGCAACATCTTGCATATCAGACAAGAGGTTACATTGGGACAAGCCAAGGGGCCACATCTGGCATGTGGGGTCACATGGCAGGGGAAGGAGCCAAGGCACTGGGCTGCAACACTGGGAGCCACATCCTGCAGCTCCATGCGAGCCCTGGAGGCTCAGCACGCTCTTGCACTGCTCGCAGATGCAGCTGCCTCTGGCACACAGGGCTACGAGAGGGAAGCTGCAGCTCCATGTGCAAATGGGCACAGCACAGATTTTACTGTGTGCAGGAAGAGTCACACACTCAGGGAGCAGGGCTGGATTCTCACAAGCAGACCTGTCCCAGCAGAGGCACTGGTGACCACCACCCTGGATCACCATACTCATTCCAGTAGCACAGCAAAGGGCTGCCAGAGACACCCCAGCAATTCCCCAGATGACCCAAGTATAAAGATGCAAGAGTTAAACTTCCTTCCAGCCAACACTAAACAATCTCAGTCCCTAGTTATGCTTGTCATGTTCTCCCAAAGAGAAATAGAAATATATTTAATTGCTGTCAGCAGCCTGCAAGACAGTTTGCTTGTGTTGTCCCCACAGGATAACTGATGGGAAAACTCCAGCCCAGGCAGTGCCCCCCAAAACATGGAAGGACAGATTTGCTTAACCCCACAACCTGCGTGACTCTCAGTGCCTTCCTGCTCACTGCTGCCAACACAGAGATGCAAATTTAAATTACAACAGACAAGTCTTCTCCCAGGGAATATCAGTTATCCTGCTCTGTTTGCCACAACTGTGAGTGTTCACACAGCCCTCTGTATGTTAAACCTGAGGTGCACTCCTAACACGAGATAAATGACTGCTATTGGCTACAGCTACATTTCGTTCATCAATTAATTACAAAATAATCTAATTACTAACACTACAAGTTAAATGGCTAAGCCCTAGGGAAAGTGTAATTTCCTGAGACATTTTGAGGGAAACAGATTTCAACTTTTAGTCTCTGGGCACCCTCCATTCCCACTGTTCTTTTTTGCCAGACAAATGGAAGGTCAGTCTAAGAACAACAGTACCATTGGTAAGACCAAATGGCAATGCATTAGTCCCTGAACCACATGGTAATCCTGCAGCTTAAGAAACCATAATGAGGAATTCTTTAAAAACAAGACCTGTAGCAGCCAAGTGCTGATTTTGTGCTCCATTGCACTAAGTCTGTGACATTATAACTCAAAGTCAGCGAGAGTGGTGCAGGAGCAGCATTGGTGGCACAGACAAGGAAGCTGCTCCCCAGGCCAGAACCCCCCCTGACAAGGTGTCAGAGGTTGCTGGGCTCTCTGCAGCCCTCCGTGCTGAGCAGCACAACTCCTGGTGAGCCTTCAGCTACTCCTGCTCACTTGTGTCCTGTCCAGGTACAGCACTGATGTGCTGCTCTGAACAGGATGGAACTTCAGTAGAGTACCCCTGTGGGTGCCCAAAAAACCCTCAAGTGCAATACAGAGCTCAGAGCCTGGCTGTGTGTTTTTTACTTGCAGTTGGGCTAAGCTAGTCCAAGCCGCTTTAAGCAATTTTGTTTAAAGCAATTTATACAAATATTTAGCTCTTTTCTCTGCCTGTGAATTTCCCTAAGCATATTACAGAAGTAGGTTAAAAAGAGCTCTTTTTTTCAGATTGGAGGCAGGACAGCCAAACTTTAAAGAATTCTCCTTAATTTCATTCTTCTTGGGAACGAAAACCATTTTGTGGCCAAGTAAGTGTTGTTTCTCACTTTGCAAGCCTTGGCAGCAGGACCCAGGGTAGCCTTCCCAGGTATATCCATACTCACACCCAGCTAGACAGAAACAGCCCCTGTGCACAGAGCAGACTTTCCATCTGGGAGCACAGTTACTAATCCAGCAAGCTATTTGCTGATAGTGCTTTCCACTATTTCATCAGCTTTGCTTCTAGATTCATAAATCATTGTTCACATAGCATGCAGGATGTACGTACCAAGGCAGCACTGAATGTTAAAAGCAATATAAAACTTGATCACATCATCAGGAATGAGATTTTTCTGTGGGACATGGCTGGAGAGAGAACAAGGCAGCAGCTTCCCTTCCCCAGCAGCTGTGTTAGGGGCTGACAGGTTGTACCCAAACAGAGAACCCAGAAAAGCAGACAAAGAGTGGCCAAAGGTCTCTTACTCTCCGTACATCCCCCAGCTTCACCTGAGAGCTCACACTCACCAGACACAAATTGCTCTTCTGTTTTTTCAGTGCTCTGTCCCCAAATACATTAAAGCATTAATGCCCTGGTAAAGAAGAAAGCAAATATTAACAGACAGGACTGTTTTCTGTCACTGCAAACACCTGCCTGTATGCACTGGTTACCTGACAAAAATAATTAAATACAAATGCACAATAAATCTGTATATTGTAACTTAAATAGAACAAGATTAGGCAGCTTTCAGCCAGCCAAAACAGACACATCCAGCCCCACACGAGTACTCCAGCATAGCTTCAGGAGGTGTTCTGAAAGGATCCTGGCCAGCACAGCTGCCAGAAGGTTGGGAATACACACAGGAAGAGTTTAACTAGACCTCTCTGTAAGGTACGGTGAGGGTCCTTGCAGATAGAAGATACTTAAGAGCAGATACTGCTTCCGTCTCCCGCAAAGGCGATGAGCATGCATGTTCCTGACATGCTGTCTGCTCTCTCAAGCATCATCCCGAGTAATTTTTAACCCCTTCTTCACCCCAAGGTTTTAAGAGCATCACCCTGCGAGATTGAACAAGGCATTTTCCCTCCACATTCCCCATCCTCTTGAGTGTCAGTTGGCTAAACTGCCAGACCTCAGCCCCACAGGGTGTCCCACCTCATAGACCCTGGAAAGTAAAAACCACAAGATCTTACTGGCAGTCCTGCTGCAACAATGCTGGTGGTGGACAGTTCCAAGGGAGAGGAGAAAGAAGGGTCTGGAGGTAAACTCTCCCACTGTCATGCAGCAAAGCCGATTGGCGGACGGTGTTGCTGGGCTATAGGAGTAAAGATGAAGCAAACTCCTTCCCAAAGGAATCCAGCTCCCAGTTTTTCTTCTCTTCCAGAAACATCCCTTGAGAGAAAAAAATTGTATGACCCCCTGAACTATTCCACTCTCACTTCACCCCAGGCGGGCACTGCCAACACACGTGTGATCATTACACTAATCCATGGCAGTGGCACGGCTCAGCTCCGAAGAGAAGGGGTTAAGCCGAGGCAGCACAGCCACTGGGAAGCAGAGACTTAGTTTAAACTGACAAACCCAGTCCTCCGTAAACACAGGGAACAAATCCCACGAAACAGCGGCCATTAGGACGGTTGTTCTGGCTTTAAAGCAAGCAAGCAAATCAATGTTGATCCCCAAATCTGCGGGAGGGCGCTTACCCCTGACTCCTCATTGCTCCGTGCCCAGAGATGAAGTGAGAATGCTCCGCCACTGGAATCCGCTGACACGTCGATAAACTTGAGCGAGAAAGACGGCAGGAGAAAGCGGGAGAAGAAAAAGGGGTGGAGGCAAGTCTGACATGTTTGTACAGTGCCTGATTCACCTAAGCTGCCGAGTTTGATTTCAGGGTGTGGTAGCAGATGGGACACAGGAGCACTCAGCGTAGAGAAGACTCAGATTTCTGTTCCATGGAAAACGACAGATGCCAACAGCAGTCTCTTGGGACCATCTCGCCTTCTTCTCACAGTCTCCTCTCTTGGTCCCTAGAGGGGATGAGAGAGAGAAGGAGCTCAGAGTCACACCTGGGCACCCCGATGTGCCACGTCTCAGGCAAGAACTTCGGGGCGATCATCTCCTATTCCCCTCCACCCTTTTTCACACCCCGCTTCACTGTGACTTATTAAAGCTCCGCTCGTCAGCTTTTCTCCCTCAGCTCCACAGCCTCAGGGCCGGGAGCTGCTGAAGCTTCTAACAAACCCAACATCTCCGCCTGTGTCACCTAGCTGCACATTTCGGGACCTGCCACCAATCCCTTGTCATTCCAGGAAGGAAAGCTTTGATTGCTTGCTTTATGGCTCGCTGTAGAAGAATTCATTCCTATTTATTTGCATTGCAGATGAGCAGCACATGACCTGGCGCTTTTACTTTTCCCCTGTCCTCGCCATGAGTCAGTGCTGCCAGGTCTGGAGTCTGGGATCACCCTCTAATTCAGTTGCGCTGCCTGTGCCTCAGGCTTTACTGACTACTGGAAATAGACTTTCCACAAGCAGCAGGACACCAGCTCTGGCAGTGCCGCCTGGGCTTGGTGACTGGGCCATCGTCAGAGGACACTTTGGGGATTACAGCCTGGAGCGTTTAGAGTTCATGGCAGCAAACTCATCAGCTGCCCTCGCTCCATTGCAAACAAGGAGGATTCTTGGCCTATCCAAACCACTGACAATGCTGGCTTAACCCTCAGATATTTTTAGGTCCAAAGAACAGAGATATAAACCATAAAAACCCACCCCTGTGACTTTTTAGGGTTTTTTAAATAACATTGGTTTTGTTGAACCACCCTTAAATAAATGAGAGGCGTGCTACAAATAATCATTAGGCAGTCATTATTATTGCTGGGAGTGGCTTGTCCCACAGTGATGAGCCAGCCCAGTGACCTTTTAGCCCTGTTCCCCCATTCCCATTTTCCTCCCTACCTGTCCATTCCAACTAAAAGAGCTGCAGTATCTTTGTGCAACCACCTCAGTCTCAGCTGTAGTTGGAATTCATGAGCTCTACAGTACTATCATGGGAAGGAACAGAACCAAGGTTTATAGAGACAGCGTTTTGGAGCTGATGGTCTGAGGTTCCTAATCCTCATTTCCCAACCTGCTGGCTAAGTTGTGGAAGGCTGGTTCCCGAACGTGCAGTCACTGCTTCTACATTACACTGCAGGTCCCTGCCTGCCACAGTGACCCAGGTTTCCTGCCTGTTCCCTCCCCAGGGTATAGGAAATAGAGCCAGCCAGGTTCCTTTCTGTCTGGGGATTAGCTTCTCCCTCCTACGGGGCAGGCCCCATACACAGATGTAATCAAAAGCAGGAAAATTCCCTTTAATAGTAAAAAATCATAGTAAATAACAAAGGGGGACAGCATTCTTTCCCAGTGCACTGGAACTCGCAGAGCAGAGCAGTGGGGTGGAAGATCAGGGATGAGGAAGCAGAGTATGAACGTAGTAGGTGTGGATGGCAAACCATCCCTGTCATCTGTGCACCTGGGCTTTGCTGCTGTGCCAGGCAGTGCGGAGTCATCTGCAAAACCATGGCGTGGGGAGCGTCACACACAAACAGCTTCTGCAGTCTACAAGGAGTCATCCAGCCTTGGAGCTCCACATTTGCATGAGTATTGTATTTCCTGGCTTACATGCTAGCACAATCTTCTAGAACAAGACTTGAGTTTGTTATAAATGGCAGAGCCTGATTTTACTTGTCAAGGCACAAGCTTAGATGAAACCAAGGCAGTTCTGAATCAGTGTGAACCTCTGCTGCCTACAATCTTAATGAAAAATTAGGACACTTTCCAGTCTTTATATTCACAAGTTTGGTCCCAGCAGTCCTGCACACTTTGAAGAAAAATTTCCCAGTAAAAGTGACACGTCTCTAATTTTCCCCTTCAGCAACTATCCCTTCATTAGACATTTTACTGCTCCTTGCCTGCCCACTGCTCTCTTCTTAACTAGAGAATTGCACAAGACAGTATAAATAATTATACTGGCGCATTTATATAAACACACGATACACGCCCCACTCCTCCTACGGCTGCTCTCTCAGGTCCCGTCGGTCTCCGGGACAGCCATTCCTGGCAGCAACAAGTGCTGCAGGGTACGTTGACTAAATGTCTGCATTGCAGCCTGCCTGATTTATCTTCCCAGCAAAGGCCATTCCATATTCCATGTCCCCTCCCCAGACACAAAGCAAAGCAAATTTCAGATCCAAAGTGCTGATCTCACCTCGTTCCTCATCCTGCCCAGCCACATCGTTGTGCTAGGAGAACTCCAGGATCTCACATCCTACACTGCTGCTGCAATAGGTTCCATTTAATCACCACTGGAGGAAGATTCTGTGATGAAAACCCCATTATTAAATGTTTTCCTACTCCAATAGACAAAACTGGGAACTTTTAACTTAAAATATAAAAAGTCTGAGACAGCCGGGCCAACTGTACCATATACAATGTCTGTCTTCTACCTCAGCCAGGAGAAACATACCTGCTCACCTGTCTGAAGCTTGTGGAAACTGAGCAAACTGCTAAGGAAAATGGATCTGTATTCAACAGAGCTTCCAGGATAAACCTAACACCAAGGCACAGGAAATCTGATACATTCATGAAATCCCAGTAAGAACTACAGCAATTCCACCTATGAAGCCAGGCTGTGGCTCAGGACCGGACTTTCCATCAAGTCTTCCCTGTGCTCAGGGATCAGATAGGAAGCAGAAATGCTCTTCCACACAGAATCCCTTCCTTCTCTTTCATGGTTCTGTAAATCTAGAGAAGCTGGCCAGGGAAGTGAAAGAATACACTTAAGGACTGGGACAAAGGGGTCACTAGGAGAAAGGGTGTGTTGCACATCAGAACCAACCGGTGTGAGGAAGCACGAGATAGGAATCAAGTCTGGGAGTCTCAATCAACACATGACAGTGAAGCCAGGACTGCAGATAAGGAGGGAGCAATCCAGAGGCAGTTTCACTTTAAATAAATACTTACAGTTTAGCCACCTTTCCTTAAGGGTATCCCATTCAGAGGTGGGCAGAACATTCCAAGAGAGCATTACCTGGATAGCCAGCTCCAGTGTTTGGGTTATCCTCCTGCTTACTATGCGTTGCTGCCATTATCCAGGTAGGATCCTGAGATGCCAGCAGGACAAAGTCCTGCTTGTACTCAGCTGCATGAGCTCACGCAGTGTTTTTATCCAAGGTTTACGGTCTAAACCAGAAGAGGTTTTTTCCAATTCAAAACAAAACACAAATGCATGAGAGCTGAAGAACTGGAAGTTCATTGAGCAAGTCCAGAACTCTGAGTGCTGTCAAAGATCTGGACACATCCCCACACTCCTATCTGGCACGGCAGTGGGGAGCTGAGTGTCTCTCTTTACCCTATGCCAAACAATGCAGATTGGGGCACATGGAAGAAGGGAATTTGTCCTGCTTCAGGCTCACAATGGGTTACAGCCAGGCTCACCTGGGCCAAACACCTCCTGTGGTGGAGCAAAGCGTGGCCAGCAAGAAAACAGCACAAGGACCTGCGAATTCTGCCAAATTTGCAGAATGCCAGAGGTAAGAAGCACAGAATCATTAAGGTTGGAAAAGACCTCTAAGATCATCAAGTCCAACCTTGGACCCATCACCACCTTGTCAGCCAGACCAGAGCACTGAGCGCCACATCCAATCCTTCTTTGAACATCTCAAGGATGATAACTCCACTGCTGCCCTGGTGCAGTGCCCCAGTGCCTGACAACTGTTTCAGTGAAGAAAGCAGGTAAGCTTAGAGAGGGTAAGAAAACACCAGACTCTTTGAAAATTTTAACTCCTGCTCTGATGAGAAACTGAAGTTAAAGCTCAAGAATATCACCTGAACACAGCACATGCTATTTTGCTACTGGTTAAATTCCTGTGGCTTGGTAGATGTTCCTATAGATAATATCAATACAGCTTGGAACACAGCCACCTCACACGTCTTCCAGATCTTTTACTTGTATAAATCCACAGACTTATTTGATTATAACAGAAGTAACATCATGGTCCACCTCACAAGGCTGTGCCACCCTCTACAAAAGGTGCTTCTTCTGCTTCCCACAAAAGACACGATGATCAGTCCTGCAATGGCGACATCACAACAGAAAGCCAACATTGCCTACAGATTCCCAAGTCACCTTGGGAAAGGCATTCTGCATGCTGCTAAAATGACTGTGACAATGCTCTACTCCCCCAGAACAGAGGCGGCTTAATCTGTTGTTTTTCCAAGCATGCTGCGATCCTTAAGGATGCTATAGAAATGCAGATTGAAATCCCTCGCTGGCACCAGAGGAATACAGACCGCAGCCTCTGTTCTGAATAACTAGGTCAGTCAGCTATCGCTGAAGTATTAGCCAGAATCCAGCAAATTCCTAGTGGCTAAAATAACGGCTGCAGGAGTCTAACACCATTTGCTGCCATTAGTCACTCTACCTCTGGGTACATTCAAACCCAACTCTGCAGAGCTTAGAATAATTTGAGGGCTGGAGCCTATGCTTGTCAAAATCCAAGCACGTGCCTCCGTGCAGCACAGGTTTCCCATCCCACTTGCAGCCGTGTGGAGGCAGGGAACAACTGTCCTTGCAGCCAGCTCAGCCTTACCCTGAAAGCATTCAGCCCATGAAAATCAGGAAGATGCACTGCTAATCCCATGCCAGGGAACAGGCGTCACCTCCCAGCAGCAGCTTCCCTACAGCAAGTACAGAGGAGGCTTTGACCTATGGTGGTGAGTGGGTGACATTTTGGGGGGGAAGGCTGATAGAGGCAGAGCAGCTATTCATCTCTGTGGAAGAAAAGAAGGAAAGGGCTGACAAGCACAATGGGAACAAGTATCCAAAATATATTTCAACCCCTTCCAGCCGCTGACACTGGATCAAGTATTTGGTTTCTTCTCCTTAGAAGCAGGAGGCAGTTGAAGGGTTAAACCTGGTTGAGTTTTTTTGGGGTTCTTTTTTTTTTTTTTTACTATTTTTAATTTATTTTCAAGCTCTGGTTGTCTCA